GACTTGGAATACACCAAACGTCAACAAAAGAAATTCAGGGATACTCCAAATAGCAAGAAAAGTTACCAGTAAAACGATATACTCTAGCAGTAACGACTTGGAATACACCAAACGTCAACAAAAGAAATTCAGGGATACTCCAAATAGCAAGAAAAGTTACCAGTAAAACGATATACTCTAGCAGTAACGACTTGAAATACACCAAACGTCAACAAAAGAAATTCAGGGATACTCCAAATATAATTGCGTTTCTGAGCATAAACCTTGTTTTTGTTGTTGTTGTATTCTAAATCAATTGCTTGTAAAATTAATTTGAGGGTGCTGATTGTTACCATTATTCGATTGTTTGTTGAAATTCGCTCTAAGCTACTCAAGGGTTATTGGCGCTAGCCGTTCCTAATTTTGAGGTGACAGACTAGAAGGAAGGCAGCTAGTAACACCACCCACCTCCAACTCTTGGGCTACTCTTTATAAAGGAATAATAGGATTGGCCGTCACATTATAACGCTCCCACGGATAAAAAGGGAGCATTTTCGGTGACGAAATTCGAACCAGCAATTCTCAGATTGCGAATTAAGTACCTTAACCGCCAAGCCTACCACTATTCGAGTGAATTTATCTAAAAAAATGCATCGTCAGATTTCTACTTATTTACGCAATTGCTGTTGGGTGAGAAATATATTTACAAATCGTCACATAATGATGCATATCTTGTGGAAACATTTGCCTATCGAGTATATTGTGTTTATATCAAATCATTTTCACGCGCGGGACTGGTATTTTAAACATTTATGTTTAAGAAATAAGCCTTAATTATTCAAGTAAAAATTTATTTTCAGCTTCAAAATAACAAAAATGTACAAGAAGTATGAAGTTTCGGATCTTATGTGTTCTGTTTATAAAAAAGAAAGAAAGAAAAAGCTATTTATCTCAAATTAAAAGCCTCCTAGTGGCACAGCAGTATGTCTGCGGACTTACAACGTTTGAAACCGGGTTTCGATACCCGTGGTGGACAGAGCGCAGATAGCTCTTGTGTAGCTTTGTGCTCAATAGCAAACAAACCTAAATTTAAAAAAATAAGATATGTTGACATAGTTCTCTCCAAGACCTCTAGATGGCGCTCGTTTAAAAGAAACACATTCGACTTTTAACAGCTGATTACAATTTTTTTTACAGAGACGTCACCTCTCCTATATCAAATACTTTTTCTCCTACTTACTGTTTTATGTTATAAGCTCCTTTTCCGTTCTGAAGTGGTATATTTTCTCGATGGTCTCACCATACCCTGAAATATAGAAATCCATACGGGTTATGCGAACCTTCATCTTCCATATTTCACTATTTATTTCTAATTTTAACCTTCACGTGATGGTTAATTACCCTTAGACAATTCAACAATTCATTTAAACTAAATTCTTAAACTTAAGTAACTTTACGCCGTCAATTTTACGCGCTTTGCTGTATACTTCTACAACTTAGTACGTTCTCGCTACATCTCGCGTTATAAGTCAGTGAAATGCGATACTTTTTGTTTCACCACCGCTTTAACTATTTGTGACATATTATTTTTCAAGGTCGCCACCAGTAGGCGTTCTTGGTATAAGATTCAGCCAATTTTCTATTATTTACCTTAATTTAAATGCAATGCCATTCGAATCAGAGGAAACTGGAGATAAGAGAAAAAAAACGGAGAAAATTCTCACGTGACCATAGTTGGTATCAACCAGCCAATCACAGAAAGCTGGAGATAAAGAAAAAAACGGAGAAAATTCACACGTGACCATAACTGGTATCAGTCAGCCAATCACAGAAAACTGGAGATAAGAGAAAAAACGGAGAAAATTCTCACGTGACCATAGTTGGTATCAGTCAGCCAATCACAGAAAGCTGGAGATAAGAGAAAAAAAACGGAGCTAATTCACAAGTAACCATATGGTATCAGTCAGCCAATTACAGAAAGCTGGAGATAAGAGAAAAAAACGGAGAAAATTCACACGTGACCATAGTTGGTATCAGCCAGCCAATCCCAGAAAGCTGGAGATAAAAGGCCAATTGAAAAATTGCACGCGTGTCCATAACAGGTATCAGCCACTTACAAAGTTCGAGATAAAAGATCAACTGAGAAAATGTGCACGTGACCTTAGCTGTTACCAGTCATTCACTGCATGAATAATATAACTCTTAACTTGAAATAATGTAGTTGGTCTGCAGCTGGTACTCACTCTTAAGGTTTTCCTGTTTCTAAGCTACCGTTGGTTCGTGTTAAGCGGTTCTCGATCCCTTTGTTTTCCTGTTTCTGAACTGTGGTTGGTTCGTGTTC